TTTTGATTCAATTTTTTATAAATAGCAATTGTTTTTTTGAATTTGTCCGGGTTTTGCCATTTTGCCAGCAAGTATAACTAGGGATGGTATAAAACGGGTTTATTGTTTGAAGCATCTGATTGGTTAATTTCAAGCTTCTGCATTTCTTTAAAATCCAGTTTTAAAACATTTGCCATCCCTAGCAGATACCTACATCCGGTGAATCACTTGGAAGTGGTTGAGCTTTAAACAAACGAGCCTTCTCTTGCTCTAAAGTTTCTCTTCTTATTTTTTCTTCTTTTTCCTTGGCTTTACGATGAGAAATTTCATCTCCAGGTAATGAAAATTTTGGCATTTTCAACTTCCGGCGCGGAATAATTGGTCTGAATGGTTCTTTAAAATCCGGAATAGGATTAACTTTAATAATATGAGGAGGAGATGGTGATTTTCGCACGGGTGGTTTCGGTTTTGTTATGGGCGGAGAACGAGGTATTGTGATATCAGCTTTCTTAATTCTTGGTACACCAAATTCAAATCTCTGTTAACAAATAACAAATAATTAAGCATGTTTCCTTCAAAACTTTCTGATCCATTATTATATTACCTTTAAGTTTACAGACTTTTTATGAATTATATGATTTTCTTTTGTTTTTTTTTTCTCGGTTTCTAACACTCTAATGTTTATACGAATGAGTATTTGGAATCAAATATTTAGTAAATCAGTCATTATCTTTGGTTATGTATAACTTACTTGCGTGATTTAGCTCTTAGCTTCGTCCGTAAAATTGGAGATTTGGGCTTTGTCGGAAGGTTTACTTGAATGGCAGTAGGCTGTGAATGGCACTCGCGATTAATGTATAAATTTTTATCAACTATTATTCATTATTTAAAGTAACATCCTGTACCTTAATTGATACAAGATTTGATTTAAACCTATCAGGAGTCCTTTCCATAAATTGTTTAATGCGCGCAGCCAGCGGAATGTATGGTGACTTTAAAAGTTGACTCTCTGTCCTCTCCGTCTTGTTAATACGCGTAATAGTATGAAATTTAAACGGCTTTGGCACTGTTAATTCTGGAATAAACTTCTTCATGGGTTGCCGTTTCTTGAATCCACATAATAATTAAGGTTATCGTCTATTTTAACTTATTCAAAAAAAAAAAAAAAAAGTCTTACTTGTATTCCTAGAGATCTAAGTGTAGGATAGTTTCTTACGCGCTGTGGTGGATCGAGATGCTTTTGAATGTTAGATTCTTTAGAAACTGTTTCCTGCTTATATGCTATATCTATATCATCTTTTAAATCTGTACTGAGTTTAGAATCATTTGCCAATGTAAGAACGTCAAATTTCTTTTCAAGAAACGATAATATAGTCGTGTTATTTTGCTTATCTTTTTTTAAAAATTTTTAATGTCAGTATTTTAAATTTAATTATTTCAATTTCAATTGTCAAACTTTTTGGTAAGTACCGAACCAAGAGTCTCCTTCTCCAAAAGTTACATCATTAAGAAAGTCTCGATAATGTGGCGCGTTAATTTCATTATAAATGGAATCAGAACTTTTGGGTGACGCGTCACTAAAAATCGTTATATCGTCTTTTACTATTTCTTGATTAATTTTCATGTTGCTCTTGATTCATTGACACGTAAAAAATTATTTTATTATAGGACCTCGCGAAATAAATAGCAAATTATGCGATGCGATTGGTCCAAATTATGCGCCCGATGCCAAACAGTCGGTTCGGTCTAGATGTCACGCAGATCATTGGTGTAAAATTTTTAATAGTAGGTCAAATGATCAACGCATCCAAATTTTTAACAGATAGTATAACTTAAATCATTTTTAGCTACTAAGTTATTTGTAAAGTAATAATTAAGCTTGTTGGTGAAACTAAAAAATTAAAGGTGCAACTTAATTGTTAAATTAATAAATAGTAAAAGTAATAATATTGGTGATATAGTAAAAGTAATTGGTCAGAGTCTAATAAAAAACTCTCTCCGTCGATCATTCCGACCAAATTTAGAGCAGAAGGAAAAAACAAGAAAACTCAAAATTTCTACTA